AAAAAAAGAACAAGCAAACCGCCGTCCAAATCCAGCCCAACCCATTTCTCGTGAACCTCGAGAGAGCCATTGACCCTAGTCGTACAATACACACTCGTAATATAGAAACACTCCGACCAGCGCGGACCGGAGAACCAACGCAACAAGTCGAGGGGCACTTAGACCCACAGCTTAGGCGGCCGCCTCAGAGACCTTCGCCTTCTTAGATGCGTCTTCGGTCTCGGCTGCCTCCTCCGCCTTGCGCTTCGTGCCGTTGGACTCGTGGCCGTTCTCCTGGGCCGCCGACGACTGCGACTCGTCCTTATTCTTCTTCTCCTTCTTCCGCACTAGGCCAGTGAGATCGGTTGCCGTCTTCTTAGCATCCTGGACGCGAACATTCATCTGAGCGGGTGTCTCTCCGAGCGCGGACCCGAAGATGCCTTGAAGAGCATCACCGGCGGCCGTCCCGAGGACGGATTTGAAGTCGATGGCGGGCTTCCGCATCTCCTCGAGCTACTGCGAATCAGTTTACCGTTGAAAAAAAAAAAAGACAAAGTGGACCGATGGCGGTAGAAATTGGATAGAAATTGGGACACCTACCCGGTGTTCCATGTCCTCGATCATGTCCCGCACGTCGCTTATCTGAGCCTTGGTGGCAGTGTTCTCCTCAGGGTTGGCCGTCTCAGCCGACTCGACCTCTTTAGCCTGGAGCTTGAGCTTCGTGCTTGCAATGGCCGCCTCCATCTCCGAGATGGCTTCCTCTCGCAAATCCTCATCCAGTGCCTGGTCAGCGCCTGCCTCTGCCGTAGTTGTCATGGAGGCGAATTCGAGGGCGAGCGCAAGCTTGTAATGGGCTTCGGCGCGAATCTCCGACTCGGGTGGGTAGAGTTCTTTCTTGTACTTCAGGGATTCGCGGAAATTCTGGCTTGCGAGGGAAAACCTGTCTTGCGAGTTAGCACCTACTGGTCTTTAGTTGACCGGCGAGGGTGGGGGAAAAAGAAGGGAAGAGAAGGGGAAAAAAGGGAAAGGCCACCGACTTTTCATTCTCCAAATTGATTTCCGCCAAAAGGTCGTAGGTATCAGCTAGGCGCTCCTTGACATGGCGAACGTTGGCGCTGTCGCCTTCTTGAACGACGCCCTTGCCCTTGCCATTGGTCTGGCTCTCCTGTTCTTCTAGCAGAGCTAGTCTCTTTTCAAGCGAGAGACGTGCAATCTCAAGGGTGTCGTTCGCGATTTCCATCTCATCCTCTTCGTCTCCATCCTCAGCTTCGTCATCCTCCTTGCACAGCAGGTCAGCAGGCGACCCAGCGGCGAGCAGGAAGTTCGTGCGAGCTGGCTTGACTCGACTCGAATTCTTACCTCGTCTTCGTCTGAGGCCTCAAAGTTCTCGTCTCCCTCGAACTGGAACAAGGGCTTTTTGGCCGGACCGGGCTCGGCCTTCTTGTTGTCGCTCACTTCCACCACCGCAGCCGCAACGCTTTCCTGCGTCGACTTCTTCGCTTCCGCCTCAACGGCCTTGGGCTGTGCCTTGTCTGTTTTCTTCTCGCCGGCTGCCTTGGCGCCGAGCACGTCGCTCTTCGCCTGACCAATCTTGAACATGCTGCGACCGTACAGAAAGAAAATCTCGCCATTGTCGGGGTGGATATCGAGTCCGTCGGTCATATCGACTGCCATGGCTACAGCGGCCGAATAAAGATCGGCCGCTTGGTTGTACTCCTTCCTCACATACAGCGCCGAAGCTTTGGCAGTCAGGTCAGCGAGTGTGACTTTTCTTGACTTGATATCATTGTCAACAAGAATGTCCGCATCGTCTGTGGCGGGTGTGTTGGCATTTTGCTGCTCTGTTGTCTCGGTTGCAGTAGCAGGAGTCGTTTCGTCGGCTGTCGGCTTCGATTCTTCAACGATGACCGGCTGTTTCTCCGGTGTGTCCGCCATTGTATTTTTGTCGATCAGGTGATAAAATCTGGATAAATGGATGTTCGTCTGATAGGGAAGGTATCTATTAACGTGGTCGTCAAGGTGGCGTGAATTCGTGCGTGTAGTTGTGCGAAGGTAATTGGAAGGACTGCTGGGTAGTTTGTTCAAGGGCGGCAGGTAATAGCTCTCAAGACTTCGAAGGACAATGACGCGCCTTCCGTGGAAGCGCGTCACGCGTTTAATTGGTGGCAGGCGCCCCACCAAGCTTGGCTTATGTAATATACATATGTACCTACGGATAGGTAGGAGATACTTGGGATAAAGGGCTTGAGAACAAAATAGTGGGCATCGATACCAAACATTCCATGTATTTGTGAACAGCCCCGGCGAACCCTTCTTTGAGTCGCAAGATGATAAAACTACCTTACCCAATTACAACAATCTTGGGTGAACGTGGACTCGTTGATCCAACCCGGTTTCTTTTTGGGCCCCTGACATTTGTTACTCGATGCTGATGAAGCGTATCGAACTCATAGCATATGCCCCCCAACCAAACAAGAAAAGCAGTTATCGCGAACGCACTTCCACTACTTCCTAACTTCATGCATGGACTCATGGACTCGAATATTAAGGCGAGTCTAGGGTGTTTGAGAATGACGTTTGTACATGCGTGATTACTATAATTGTAGATTCGTAGATGGCGCACGACTGGGTTGACCCCTGAGATGCGCAGAAGAGCCCTTGAACAGACTCTGCCAAATGAATGCCTCGCTGAGAAGAAGCTCGATGTCCTTTTCCGTCCAGTCCTTCGTCGGCAGACTCTGTAGGAACATCATGATCTCCTGAAAGTCCATCCTGACCAGCTTATCTGACCACTTGACCAGGAAAGCCGCGCAAACATATAGATGGAACTCGGAGAAGCCTTGCTCCTCGGCCTACAACACGTGTTAGCACCCCGTCCACATCGGAGAAATATAGCTGAATATGTCTTACCAAGTATGTATCCCACATCCGAATGGTGTTTTTGACGCTAATCTCGCGCATAAGGAGACAGTTCATCCACCGGAAACTAAACTGTATGAACTCGACGTGCTCGCTCTCGAGGTGTTTCGCAAGGGTAGAGTCAATCCTGGCCGTAAGGTCTCTCAAGGCTGCGACCTGTCGCTGAATCCCTGGCTGCGCAACGATATAGTGGTCTTGGATCCCGTCCAAAAGTTTCGTCAGGCACCAGAACGAGTCAGCCTCGACCGCATCCAGTACGGACTTCGGAAGCTGCCCCGGATCCATTCCCTTTTCCACATTGGGATCTGTGATATAAATCCCTAGGAAGACCTGCCAGAACGGCGTGACCAGGTCGTTGATTCCCTGCACGTAGCCACTGGCGGGATGCCGCACGGCCCAGACGTACAGGATCCTTTCCAATGATCGTTGCGTTGCTTCGTAGCCGTATAGCTCGATGTGCGGATTTGTCCGGGGCACGTCGATGCTAATCTGATGCCAGATGGCTTCATCCAGACCCCTCGCCTTGCCTGCCGAAGTCGGATTGGCCGCTCCTCTCTCAAATGCCTGTCGAACACCGTCTAAATATTCCTTCCTTTTCCTTTCAAGCGTTGCCACTCGTCTTTCGCTGCTTGCAGGGAGATAGCTGAGTAGGAGCTGCCATGTCATGGCCCGGACCTCCTCCGGAACCCCAGACCAAGCTAGTTGGCGGAGGTCTGCCAGAGGAATCGTCGAGGCCTGAAGAAGCTTTTTGAACTTGTTGATGCGAGAGATGCGCGAGTTGGCGGCATCAACCTCTTTGGGTGTTGCATCGGTTGGTACAGTCGGGTAGTTGATTAGATGAAGCGCATTGGCGGGGTCTGTCTGCGCATGTTAGCTTGGCAAAGCGCCTTGATCACCGGGGCGGGGCGTTGTGCTACACGGGTGACATGCCTCGCAAAATGTCTTTATATTGCGGCCGTAATATTTTGCCTTCGCTCTTCTTGGGCATGGGGTATGGCTGTGCCGGCCTTTCTATCGCAATATCTGCACTGTTCGAATATCGACGACTTCCCAGGCCGCTAAACGAGCCCTCGGGCGCGGGGGATAGCAAGGTCCCTTTCGAGTCTGTCCTTTGCGCAGCAATCTTTCGATCTCTCCTTTTCATGTTGGACAGGCTGGGAAGACCAAAATCGTCGCCGTCATCGTCATCATCATACCCGATCATGTCGTCTTCCTCGTCCGCCTTCCAATCATCATTCGTATTGGAGAGAAAATTCATGTATGTTTTGAAAGGAGGAGTTGAGGTTCCTTGATTGGAGCGAGCGGTGGGGGACGATTCGCTGGGTCGGGTCCTGTTTGTGCTGGACGACGGCGGGGTCTTTGGTCTCGAGGAAGAACTGCTGGACAGATTTCTTGTTCCTTGTCAGTGTCGCCAGACCTATCCGGGAAGAGGTGGGGGGTGAAACAACGTACAGAGATTCAAATTTGAGCATGTCGGCATGGGAATAGGCTGCGCCGACAACCAACCCGGAATTTGGGCCGGGTTTCTTTTGTGCATTGTCGCGTTGAGGGGGCTTCCAGAAGGGAGACGCTGAGCTGTCGGTTGGTCAGTCCACTCACTCACACCTTTGGAAATAAAAGCCCCGAGGAGGAAGGACATACTCGGATCGGTCTGTTATTTGCGAGTCAAGAGAGTCAGTAAGTATGACTGACAGCGCCCTGCTCCAGGGAAGGAATCGCATGTCATCGGGAGGCGGGGGATAGAACCGACATACCAACCTGGACCATCTCTTGCTGCGGGGCAGATCCGTCAGTCAAGGGCCTACGCGCTGAACGAAGGTGGGGGGCGTTGTTAAAAATGAACAATACCTGCGGAGATGGCTTCGTCCTGCCCCCGGAAGAAGAGAACATGGTGTTGGCCAGCTATGTCGCCCAAGACATTGTGTGGTGGACGAACAGATGATGGGACGGCAGTTCCAGCGAGGCGTCGGGCGCAAGAGGTAAGGTACTCCGTGCTTTGTGACCAAAGCGGTCAGGATACCCACCTTGCTCGCCATGTGCTTACGTCACAGCCACTGTGGCTTGCTAGTAGACTCGGTACATGTACGTGTAAGGCACTTCTGGCAGGGAGGAATATTGTTCCGGAGTCTTTTCCAAGTCTGTGATTGGCTCATTTATCTAGGTACGAACGTCCTGCTTCGTGCCGTACAATTGCAGGTCGAATATTTTAAGTGGACCCACCTTACTAAGGTAGGTCTGGACTCGGACTGTTCAGTTGCAACGGACCACCAAGTTCTTTCTGTTTTGCCCCAGGCTCTCCTCTGTGCGAACTACGCGACAAAATTTCCTTCGGAGCTTTCGTGCCTCGTAACCTTTTACGGCATCCATTTCTTTTCGTATTTTCCTCTTACGGGCCTTGAATTGTTTCCTTAAAGGAATTCCTCTCTGGTTCAGTCTCTGGACTGACGCTAGTCATCACGCGTCCGCATTCCTTTCTTTCTGTTCCGCTGGCGATTGGCGACACGCCGATATTTTCTCCTACCTACTCTAAGATGACGGAACCGGAGAACTTCGAAGAGGATCTCTTCGCCGACCTGTTAGTCAATGCCGCCTGCTATGGTGCCGCCCTGCCCGCACAGCACCTCTTGATAGATTAAGGGCTAGATCACTGATGATTTTTCTTGCTCAGTTACGACGACGACACTGCTTCTGCTCCCAAACCCATCAAGACCGAGGCTGCAGCCCCTGTTGCGCCCGCCGCTCCCGAACCAGAACCCGCCGCTGAAGCAGCTGCTTCAGCACCAGCTGCATATGGAGAAAATGAACAGACATATGCGGCTGTGCACCAAGATCTTGGTGGTGGTGGTGGTGGTGAGAGAATGTATGAAGATGATGACGATGACGACGACGTGGACTTCAACCTGGGCGGTGGAGGCCCTCCTCCCACTTCGCATACCCCTCACACGAACGACGAGCCAACATACTCCCGTGGAGTGGCTAAGAATCCGAGCGCCAAGGAAGATGGGTAAGTCTGTTTCTTGATTTCGCATTTGTGACGTTGTGCCCTTCTTTCCCAGTTCCGCGTAATATGACCAGGGGCCCCTGGTAGCCCCTTACCTTTGGAGCAAGCCATCGATTTGGACGGTCACTTGAAAGGCTGGATAGAAAGTTCTGGTCCTTTGCGATGCAACTGGGGGACTCTATGCTATCCGCAGTGGAACGCCAAGGGAGCAGGAACGGACCACGCGTTTGGTTATGCACCACCTCGGCTATGCAGGGCTTTCAGATTGAGAAGTCAAGTCGATGAATCTAAGCTCGGGCAATGAGGAAGAGGAAGAGAAAAAGCCAGAAGTCCACTACGACAGAATTAGTGAAAGAAAGCAAAAGGAGAGAGAGAGAGAGAAGAAAAGGGAAAAGCAGAGTCACGCCGATCACCCATGGCTGGGAAACAACCTCATATCAACTCGAAGACGGTTACCGTCGGACAATAGTCAGAGCAAGAGCACCGGCACGATCGGGAACACGATCTTGCATCCCATAGCCCAGTCGCAGATAAAGCTTTTCGCACCAGAACGAACTTGATCAGTTCACTGGCTGCTGTAGCAAGATTGGCAGCGGATAGCGCTCGAGGGCTAGTACCTAGCAAGACCTGGCGGTAGCAAGACACAGTTCGAGACAAAAATTCGACGAGATTTGACCTGGCTTTCTCTCTGCGCTGCATACGTCTCCCCGGTGAGAGCATCTGTAGCAGAGGTGGTCTTCTGGGTCCCTTATTCGACGAGAGCCGCTGTCCGGCCCTCTTGTGTTGCGCGGGGATGCTCGCGCTGCATTATTCTACGATCAGCCAGAGAACCGGGCGTGCTATCGACCAACTCCAACCTATCTCGGATATGCTGAACATCCTCCTTTTCGCCCTCGGTCACAGCCACATGATGAAAGGGACCTTGCAAGAACGCCGCTTAACCAACCACTATCACACGCAATGAGCCACCAAAACGTCGACGCTTGCTAGGCTGACCAGCCCATCTTCTGCCGGCGCCGAGGAATGCGACTGTAACACTTCAAAGGAGATGTGTAACTCTGCATACACTACACTCTCTCCTCCCGTCGCCCAGCCCCGTCAAAACAACTCCACGATTCTGAAGATCTGTTCTGATTTCGTGTTCGGCGTATCTGGATGGATTTTGCGACCAAGTTCGACGAAGTTGGTTGGACTTGTTTGTTTATTGCAGGCATAGAAGCTGCGGATTGTCGTTTTCTTGATTTAGATGTTTGATTCTCTCTTTTTTTATGGAACATGTCTTCTGTCAAGCCCTCTCTGGGGGTTTTTCTTTCCTTTTTTTCTTCTTCTGGCTGTTCATTTTTAAGGCTGACATTTCCTGCGCACACACAGAAAGATGTTCATCGGTGGTCTGAACTGGGAGACTACAGACCGTAAGCATCTTGCCTTTCATTCCAAGCTCTTGTAGATCTGCTGCTGACGTTTACAGAATCCTTACGCGACTATTTCTCCCAATTTGGCGAGGTGGTCGAGTGCACTGTCATGCGAGACAACAGCACAGGGAGATCTAGAGGGTTTGGCTTCCTTACCTTCAAAGACCCCAAGACGGTCAATATTGTCATGGTAAAGGAACATTTCCTGGACGGCAAAATCGTATGCTATTCCTCCTCGGTTCCCTTGCCCCTCGCAACGAGTACTGATAGGCGTTTTAGATCGACCCTAAGCGCGCCATTCCGCGAGACGAACAGGAAAAGACAAGCAAGATCTTTGTGGGCGGTGTCAGCCAGGATACAACGGATCAAGAGTTCAAAGATTACTTTGCTCAGTTCGGACGGGTGGTAGATGCCACGCTTATGATGGACAAGGACACCGGACGGCCTCGGGGTTTTGGATTCGTCACCTTTGAAAACGAGGAGGGCGTCGACGCGTGCCTCAGGACTCATCTCGAGATTCACGGCAAGCCGATCGAGGTCAAAAAGGCCCAGCCCAGGGGCAACCTTCGCGAGGAGGAGGAGGCAGCCCGTCGTGGAGGGAAGTTCCGTAAGGGAGACGACCAGGGCTCGAATGCTGGAGCAATGAACGGCCAGATGGGCGGGGCGAGCGGGATGACCCCTCAGGTCATGGCGCAATACTTCCAGCGCATGCAACAATACTTCACCATGATGCAGCAGCAAATGGCCATGCAGCGAGGCATGCCCATGAACCCGGCCATGATGCAGCAGATGATGCAGATGCAACAAATGCAACAGATGCAGCAGATGCAGAACCAAATGATGGGCGGCCGGGGCGGAGGCGCCGGCAGTCCCCAGAGCCCGCAGGGGATGACCATGACTCCGGCTATGATGCAACAAATGCAGCAGATGCAGAATCAGATGATGGCTGCTGGTGGTGGTGCCGGCGGAGGCGGAGGCCAAGGAGGACAGGGCCGTGGCGGGGGTTACGGCGGCTTCGATCAACAGCAGATGTACGACCAGCAGGGCCGACGAGGTGGAGGGCGCGATCAGTACGGTGGCCAAGGAGGAGGCTACGGCGTGGTAGCCGGAGTTGCCGCCGGAGGTGCTGGGGGCGGCGGCGGCGGCGGCGGCGGCGCTGGCATGACATCGTGGGAGGGTATGTACGACGACGTTCCACAACCCAATATGCCTCCAAGCGGCCCTGGCCGTGGTTTTAACCGCAATCGCGGCGGTGGCAGCATCAGCAGCAGCATCGGTGGCAGCCCGCCGGTGGATCCCAACAACGCTCCGCCCGCCAATGCGCCCACCGGCCCCAAGAACGCCGGAAAGCCGGGCGCCAACTACCGGGGAGGGGGTCGTGGCGGAACTCGTGGATACCACCCTTATGCGCGAGGTTAAACTGCCAACAGAGGGGCTTCGACTTCTCCTTGACCTCCTTTGTTTTCTACTTCCCTTTTCTTCTCTTATGTTTTCTCCGCTGCGAGGTGCTTCGTCGCCGAAGATCTTCTCTCTTTCGCTGTCAGCAGCAGCTGTGTGTACAAAATCTGCAAATGAGGTCTTCTGAAAAGAGAATGTCCTAGAGCAAGGGGAAACGGTTCAGAATTAGCAGTATGTTCATGGATGGATTAATCGTGCCGTCTTGTCTGTTCTGGTTAAATCAGGGGCAAATACAGGTTCGAGCTGCAGGACCCAGGCCGAAATCGCGGTGGTGGCCCTGGGACATCAGCCAAACATTAGTTATCGAGGCTTCTTTAATTCACTATCTATTCAGTTGATACAGTCTCTATGGCTGGAGCCCATACATTTGTGACCCAGGGATCTGATTCAGTCACGTCTATCACCACTCCTGGATACTCCTCATCTAGTGTTTTGATTTTTTTAGTCTTCGGCGCCCATCGCCCGCCCGCCTCTTCATTCCCTATTTCCTAAACCCACAGATGATGCGATTCGCAAATCGGCAGAAGAAATGATACATGTCGTCCCGGGGTCCAGAACCGACGTGGCATACTCGTACAGGACCAATCCATGCAGGACAAGCGGTTACAGGTGCCATGTAGGCAGGGAAAAGTCGCGAGTCGTTGGCCAGTTTTCCACTCTAGGGACAGGGACCGGCATGTCAGCCCAGGAAATCGTGGTACGCAGCAAATTGGGGGGTAAGTGTCAGAAGAAAGGGAACTCACCTTGTCGTCAAGAGCACGGTCATGCGTTTCCTCTTCGCAACGGCGTCCTCGTCTGCCGTCAGCCGCAACCAATCACCCAAAAGTTCCCGTAACTCCCCATCCCCACGTCCTATGACGCCGATCCCTCTTTCTGCACAGGCGATCCTGAGCTCCTCGTGCACCAGGTCAGACAAGGCGCCGTCCTGCAACAGCAAGTTGTCGTCGCCCTCCAAGAACCCCATCCTCAACTGGCCCTTGATAAACCACATGCCCGGGGGCATGAAGCCCAACTTATCCCACATAGCACCGGGGAGATGCAGACTCCGCAAGACATGCTGCCTAGCGGCACGGCGGGCGGCGCCGACGTTCTCCTCTTCCGCGAGGACGCCGCGCGGGTAATCGATCTCGAGACGGGTAAAGGAGGCGCGGCGGCGGTCCTCGGCGGCGGCCATGGACGCGCCGATCTGGCGCGGCAAGCGGCAGCTGTATGGGACAATGCCGTCGATGGCGAGCACGATGAGGGGGGTGAACTCGCCGCAGACGAGGAGGACTAGGGCGAAGATGGGGACGCGGACGAGGTCGTGGCGGACGCGCCAGAGGAGGACCCAGTCGGCACGGCTGTAGGAGGGAGGAGGAGGATGCGCGGGTTTCCAGGACGGCGGCGGGCGGCGGTCGGATTCGGGTTTCGAGGCGAGGGTGTCGCGGAGGAGGCGGCGGTTGGCGAAGACGGCTTTGACGCCGGATTTGTAGAAGGACACGTATGCTTTGCCGATGTTGATCCAGTGGATGATCGTCGACGCAGAGGGGTCGCGAACCGGGAGGAGGAGATGAGGGGGCCGGGTGGATGCGGGGGGGTTGATGGACGCGTTCAAGGCCTGGGCGCTTGTGTTGCTGTCGCGGCCATTGTTGGGTCGGGGGGAGGTCTTCGACGAACTCTGACGACCGCGGAGCTGTGGGAGGAGGATGACTGTTTGAAGGATGGACGTGCGGGAGGGCCCATTGGGGGTCAGAGGAGTTAAACCTCGGGCACTGAGATATGTCGGGGCGCGCATGGCGCGCAGTGTTGCTCTCTGGTTCATCGCATTTCCGTGCTCCAGCTTCGGTCTGGATCTAATTGGTATCGGGGCGGATCATATGGGTCATGAATCGGAGCATCAAAAAAAAGAAGTCGCGGTTGCATCGAACAGGTACGTACCCATACCAGGTCCGATCGGCAGAACCCTTCGGGCCAGTCACCGAATGCCAAGCCATCAGGTGAACGGTCTTGCTTACACATACCGAGTTTTACCGAGCTGACCCCATTCCAAGTACGTCGTACCTTACCCATGGTGAACCCCCATCCATCCCCCTTCCCCTTTTTCCAAGAAAGCCCTCACATGCACATTCTTATGGACTTTTGGTAGCGGAGTAGGTATTAAACAAGTTTAAATCCGAACACCCTCACAATATCTCTAGGCAAACAAATACAATCGTTATGGTATGGTAGCTTTCATGACTAATCTGAATCTCGTCACTGTCCAGTGAAAGAAAGATTGAAAGTCACTCACATCCGCTTATCACCCCGTAGGTCCACGCCGACGCATCCAATTTCGCCTCGGGCGTCACAAAGGAGGAAGCTTATGAGCAGGTCCTCATGCAGGCCGAAGGGCTATTTTACGAACAGAGAAATTGGGTACGCAACTGGAGGAATCAACACCCCCTCCCCCCTGCGCTATCAGAATCCATGACATGATGACAGTATCATCATCGCTAGCATCTCACTTACACGCCTCTAGGTTTGGTGAGCTGCCCCCCCCTTAAGTTGGTTAACTTTTTCCCGTCCCCTGCCTTTACCGCACGCGCGTCTACACCAGCCTGCCTGACACGCGCATTGACTTCTCCCGGTCCAGCAATCTAGCCAACGCAGCCTCCCTCCTCTGGCACGCCTACCACTCCCTCCCGCCGCCCAGCAATGCCGTGAACTGGGCAGGCTTCTACGTCCTCGACCCGTCCTCCCCGCCCGAGAAGTCGCAGCTTATCCTTGGCCCCTTCCAGGGGAAAGTAGCCTGCCAGACCATTGCCTTCGGACGCGGCGTATGCGGGACGGCGGCGGCCGAGGCCCGTACCCAACTAGTCCCCGACGTGGATGCGTTCCCGGGTCACATCGCCTGTGACGGAGATAGTCGGAGCGAGGTCGTCGTCCCAATCGTCGTGGATGGATCTGTCGGCGAGGGAAAGGGCAAAGTCGTGGCAATCATCGATGTGGATTGCGCTGCTGTGGGTGGGTTTGACGAGGTGGACCAGCTTTGGTTGGAGAGGTTAGCCGTCTTGTTAGCAAAGAGTTGTTACTGGTGAGAGTAGTCTGGTATTCTTCCGACGCTCACTGTCGCCGGGTACGCCACGGGTAAGGGTGAGGGAACTTTTTAGGAAGGGCAAATAGACTGGCTTCTCGGGATTCAATGGTTTCATGTCGGCCATCTATTACTTCTGATTTAGGAAATTGCGAATCTGGACACGCATCTCCTTTTCTCTTGTCAGTTGACTGGAGAAAACATACCCACTCAACACCAGAATACTATGCTTGCAGCCTTCGTTGAGATGTGAGTTGCCTGTATACATGGTGACTCTTTATGACTGGTGTCCAGCACCGCGTCGACCGGGGGGGAATCGAAAGAAGACATCACCAACACACATGACAGAGAAGTTTTAACGCGAAGAGTATTGCCGCCTCTTGGCGTTGGTGTTTCGTTTTATTTTTCCAACCATTCGACCTCATCCACCTTGTTTTCAGTTCTCATTCATGTCCTTGGTCATTCTATCATCGGGTCTCATCCCTCGTAAGGACCCGCACTGCCGCCTCCTGCTCGTCCGCCTCCTTCTCCCTCCTGCCGACTCTGCCGTGGCCATCTCAGACATCGGAGATAACCTCCCTCGGGATCTATTGCAGCGCCTTCTTGGCGAAGTTGGGCAGGACGAAGCTGGCCTTGTGGATCTCCGAGTTGTAGTACCTGCAGTGCTTCTCCTCCTCCTCCGGGGTCCAGGAGCGCACCGGCACCTTGACGTCGCGGTTGGGGTCCTTGCAGCAGACCATGAAGCCAATCTGGCCGCTGGGGTAGGTCGGGATCGTGGTGTAGGCATACTCGGCCACGGGGAAAATCTCCTTGCAGTCCTTCTTGAGTTGAGCGATCAGGGAAAGGTGGAGCCACTGGTTCTCAGCTGTATTTCAGTGTGGTTAAAGAAGTCAGCATCTACCTTCCTCGCAGGGGCCCCCCTGGATTTTGCTTCCAGGGCAGTGTTCTCATGAAAAGGTCGTAAAGTGGGGGAAATGGCGGAGTGGTCAGAAGTTGTTTTCAATCACGAAACAGTCACAAGTGACATGTCACGATGGGTAGAGAAAGTAGCGGCTGCCAGCCGAACCACTCGGCAAGTCAGCGAGCCACGGGGAGGGAGGAGAAGAAGAGCGGACCGGGGAGGAAAGGAGCGCGGGAATGAAATTTGGCCGACGAAGTCTACCGGAGAAGATGGGAAAAACGTGGTGATATGGCATGGTCCAGGTACGGCAGAGAGGGGGGATAAAAAGGGGGTACCTGGACAAATCTTAGAGGAAACTCTCGCAACAAATTTGTCAGACGGACGGGGACGTACAACCTTGAGTGGTGATGACGCCGCCGTCCCGCAGGGCGTCGTGCAGGAGTTGGAAGTAGGGCTTCTGGAAAAGGCTCTCGGCAGGGCCCTCCGGGTCAGACGAGTCGGTGATGATGACGTCGAAAGTGTTCTTATAGTCGTCGAGGAACTTGAAGCCATCGCCGATGTGGACCTTGGACTTGGGGTGCTCAAAGCCGACAGCCATGCCGGGGAGATACTGCTTGGAGAGACGGATGACGGCCTGTATCAAACATATTAGGGCCAACGAGCTTGACAGAGGAAAGCAAATAACGCTTTTGAGAACCAAAAAGGGCAAAAAAAAAAAAAAAAAAAAGAATTAAGAACGATAGTAATGAAAATAACCAGGGCAAACAAAAGGTGTACGAGATGTGATGGATGAATGGAAAAGGTGCGCCTGGATTTTACGGACCTCGTCAATGTCGCAGAGGATGGCCTCCTCAACGCACTCATGCTTGACGACCTCGCGCAGGACACCGCCGTCACCGCCGCCAATGACAAGAACCTTCTTGGGGTTGGGGTGGGAGTTCATGGCGAGGTGAGTGATCATCTCCTGGTAGGAGAACTCGTCGCGCTCGGTGCACTGGATGACATTGTCGAGGACCAGGACCATGCCGTAGTCGGTCGACTCGAAGATGAGCACATCCTGGTACTTGCTCTTCTCGTGGTGAACGACCTTCTTGACCTTGAGGGTCATGGCCTGGCCTTTTCAAGGGGGGTTCGATTAGCCGTTAAGTTGACCGAGAAAAGAGACACGAGCCTTCATCGGGGACGTGGGTTCGAAGGCTCATGCCAGGGCATATTCTTACCAGGCCACATGTCAGAAATCTCACGGAACCATCCATCTATAGCACAGGAGATTTTTTGTCAGTTTATGTTATGATTCAGAAGCCAACTGAGGTTAGTTGCCATTGCCAACGACATGTGGAATATGAGGAAAGAAATTGAAGAAAATATGACGAGTTGCATGCGCGATGCCCTGACTCATAAGAGACTGGCGGGAAAATGCATCGTCCGAGGCTGATACAACAGCAGCACAGCATGCAGGCACTTCTGCGAGGACTGGTAGGGAGAGAGTATGAGTTGTGATGGCTGTGAGCCAGGGGTCATTTCTCTGCAGGGGAAGAAAAGGCCCCTCCCCCGCTTCCCCTCCGTCTCAAGGAGCCCGGTCCCAATGAACTCGGACTCGGTTCAATGTGTGTCGAAGACGTGGAAGCAATAGTCAAGTGGCGCACCATCGCGACTTTCGTCTTTTGCATCTCACAGTGATAGGGGCCGGCCATATAGCGCAGCCATGCAACTAGGAAACGGACGACGGGTGAAACCAACCTTGGATGGTGGCATGGGTAGTCTCGCTCATGGTGACGATGGATCCAAGTCCGATAGGACGGCGTGTACGAAGAACAGGCCGATGGGACAGGTGCCGTAAGGTAAGTAGTGGTCGCAGTACGTGACGAGTCGTCGTGGGCAAAATGGTGAATATTTGCTGAAATAGGTGTGTTTTATCATAAGATGTCGTCACTAGGTATTCTACAAGGCCTGTTCCATTTTTTTTTCCTTTTTTTTCCCCCCATTTTATCATCTTTTATCTTTTTGGGTACCAGCGAAAAATTTTCCGTTTCCGATTGGTACCCTACGAGGAGAAGTACTTCGGATACAGCCGGCTGTCTACCTTATATATTAGGTATGGATCGTGCAAGTACCTGCTTCGCGGAGGGGCAATCGAAAGACCTACGTCGTGAAAACGGCGACTTGGAAGACTGAAACAGATACCTAGTGCGGCCCTTCGTCGGCTTTCTGCTACAAAACAAAAGCCTCAGGTTGGCTTCCGCCGTTGGTGGCCTCAAAAGAAAAAGAACCAGCCCCAAAAACTTCAGACGTATGGTTCGTAATGCACCCGATTTATTCATGCCGTCATCGGTCCACCGGCTCCTATTCTTGCTCGAAACGGCCACTGGTTGTTGTGCTGGAAACATTGCAAAGTTGGACAGAAATATAGCTATTTCGAATTTACCAAGTCGGTCTTGCACGTCACACACTCCCTTTGAAATGCCGGCGTGTTCGGACAGCAGACTTGAGGTACCTCAAAAAAAGCAATGCATTTGAAATCAGACTTGGCGATGTCGTGGTCCCTCATTGTCAGGAGAATATCTTGTATTGCTTAGTAATAACATTTGGGTGACCGTGGGTGATCGCGGGCCGTATTTCTACCGTACCTGTGTACTTTCTCAAAGGCCCAGCATCCGAAAATCGAAGACGCTCTTCCATGAAGAATCGAAGGAAGCATTGAAGAATCCAACGAGGACAGATCGATGTTCAGCTGCAGGTCAAGAGACAAAACAAAACCAACGAACACCGGAACACCTGACCAAGGCCATGGGCGTGGTTATTAATAATGTGGCCTGTTGTGTGGCTCGGGGGTCTAGACGCCTGCGCCATTCCCAATTCAGCTCTCTTATGTCCATCCTCAATCCACGCTTTTCCCACAGGATCCCAGTCAGCCTGGTGAAACCAGAACGAGGTCTTCTGTGATTACTATGGCAGGCCATCTTGCTTCTTCGGAAGAGACTTTTTGATGACGCCCAGGAAAATGTTTATGAGACTCTGACACTTGCCGTGTAGACCTCATTTCCCATGCAGCGATGCGGATTACATACAACGTACACCGTAGGGGCCACGCGCCAGGGTTCATGACCATTTGCTGCCCTGTCCTGCACTGTCTCCTCGTCTGCCGCGAGTGGTTCGGGACGATCCATAGGTAGCCCAACCAGGCAGTTCATTGAGATGCTAAGAAGTACGGAGTATTACGTTGTGCACATGCTATAGCCGTGTGGTTCTCGTGGCTTTCGGTGAACACAGCTGGATACCTCGGTATTCAAATGGCACGAGCACGACACAGACCGTGGAAGTCATATGGATAGGTCATAACGCCACAACTGATGATGCGGTTTTATTATGCAGTCAGAAGCAAGAAATCATCATCTATAGCGCCGTCAAAACGTCGCCTACCTACGAAGTAGACATGAACCTTTCTGTCTTTCTTATATATATAATAGTATGAAAAAAATTAAAATAAAACTTCTCCAAACGGTATGTACGAAGTAATAAACCTCCGACATGTTCACGTATTACCGCGCCATTGGTTGTGCTCGCACTCATTATGTACCTTGCATTTCTGCATCTCCTCCCCCTGTCCCCAGTCAGGAGTCGCTGAAGGTATCAGCTACACCAGGCCAATGACCAGCTGGCACTGAAAACCGGCCCCACTGCCGGTGCATGGGTGGGTCTCCATCCATGCTGCATGGTCCAATTCTTCAGCGCCGGTACAGTGCATATACTGTATAGGGAGCAGAAACCACAGGCTGGACGAGCGGAGAGCATAGTACGGAGGACGAAACTTGCTGTACGTTGTACAATGCTAGGTACCTACGGATATGCTTACGTACTTCAATTTCCGGCACTTGCTCCCGGTCCACGCTGAGATCAGATCAGATCAGATCACTTTGTTGGACTTTGAATCATCGGGGCATCATGCTATTGAAGGTAGTTGGGGAACTAACTTGACCGATTACGGAGCTCTTCTTCAGTTTCGCAGCGCGCCTGGCGACTCCTATCCTACCATGTACTTGTTTTCTTTCGGTTTCTGTTACCGAGGTGCTACTTCGTGTGTCAACTATTCGTAACTAGTTGCGTCCGTCCACACACCGACCGGTACGGTAGCGGCCGGGAGGGGCACCTACCCTTGACTTGGAGGGTGACAAGGGAAGGAAAGGAAAAGAAGGGAAGGGCCACCCGGAACCGGGAAATCCTGCCCCATGCTTCCGAATCTGATACCATATCCATGCTTTGGGGGGGCCCTACCTATCCGTACTTCCTTCCTTCCACTCCTTTCGCTTTGCATGTCTCGTCGTTTTTTCTCTCTTCGTCCTCTCCCATGACTTGGCACATTCTCCCTGCCCCTTTTCCCGCTCTCTTCACGAACAGCCATTGCGCTCTCTCCCGGCCTCCTGGAGTCTACCCGTCTAAGTCTACCCTACAATGTCATCATAGACAATAGAGGTAGCTAGCAGCTATTTTCCCTCATCCAGAGACCGCACCAAGCCCCTCCGTTGTTCCGAGAAGCGTTCATTTCTTGACCCCTCAACACCGCGACATCGAAGGCGCCATTTGCAGGGCATCGTTGCGTACGATTCCAGCTTCCGTTTCCCGCCAGAGAAGCTGTTCCCCGGCAGTCTTTTATACCGCCACATCGCCGTGATCGGACGCGCACGACCTCCAATGTGTTGAAGCAGACGCATTTAAGCCTTATTCCTCAATCCCTGCCTTCGAGTTTCACCTGGCGGGCGCATCCCCAACCAACACAGAGGTCTGCGGTACTGCCTCCCGGCAGGTCTTGGGCTTTCTTCGACTCCTTTTACAGGCCTAGAGAGTTCCCCACGAGCGACCACGTATATCTTGCCTCGACAGTCCCGCGGACAGTTACCCATGATGTGCTTTGGAAGCAGAGACAAGGACGATGGGGCTGCGCGCTCACGAGAGCTTGACAAAGTGATTCGGCAAGATGAGAAGCGGATGGCAAAGGAGGTCAAGCTGTTGCTGCTAGGTCTGTTGCATTGCATCATGGACCTGGATCCATCTTCCCTCTTTTTACATCGCATTGGTATTCTTGTCTGTGGATTGCTACTGACTCGTTGCACCTGTAGGCGCCGGCGAATCGGGCAAGTCGACTGTATTGAAACAAATGAAGCTTATCTATGCACAAGGATTTAGCAAGTCCGAAAAGCTGGAGTGGAAACCGGTCGTCTTCAATAACGTCGTACAATCGTTTCGACTTATCTTCGATGCCATGAGGGAACTCGGCGTGGGCTTCGAGAATCCCGAGAATGATGTGAGACGCCTCCACATTCTTCGTTGTTCGAACCCTCCCCCCTGTCTTTTGGTACTCCCACATCCGAACACGCTCACTGACCTGGTTCCGCTTTCCGTGTAGAAACACATGGCCTACCTCATGGTCGATTACGAGATCAGTGCGCGAGACCCGCTGCCGAAAGACTACCTCGAACCCATCAAGTCACTCTGGGCAGATGGTGGAGTTAAAATGGCCATTGCCAAGGGCAATGAGTTTGCGCTCCATGACAACCTGGCATAGTGAGCATCAATCACCCGGTTCCGTAGAAATAATGGTATATACGCGGCTGGGGGAGGGTAAGAGCTAACGAATTCCCGTATCTAGTTTTTGCGACGACATTGACAGACTATGGGAGGACGACTATGTACCCTCCGACCAGGACCTGCTTCGCTGCCGGTTGCGTACGACGGGCATCACGGAAAGTGTCTTCGAACTTGGCCAACTGACATACCGGATGTTTGACGTTGGCGGCCAGAGGTCAGAACGGAAAAAGTGGATCCACTGCTTCGAGAACGTCAACTGCCTCCTATTCTTGGTGGCCATCAGCGGTTACGACCAATGTCTCGTCGAAGATAGAGACGGCGTAAGGAAGCCCCATTGATGCCCCCGCCCAAATGAACTCCCCAGGTCCCAGGTCGGGAACTCAGCTGGCTGACATGTACGCGCCTCGACAGAATCAAATGAACGAGGCCCTGATGTTGTGGGAGTCGATTGCCAACTCTCACTGGTTCACCAAGTCGGCCCTCATCCTCTTCCTCAACAAGATGGACTTATTCAAGGGAAAGCTTGCTCACAGCCCGATCCAGGCGCAAGGATTCACTGACTACCATGGGCCGCCTGACGACTGGAAAGCAGCCAGCAAATACTTCCTGGATAAATTCAAGGCGCTGAACCGAAACACGGACAAGGAGATTTATGGTCACTTTACGAACGCGACTGACACGAACCTGCTAAAGATCACCATGGATTCAGTCCAGGACATGATCATCCAACGAAATCTGAAACAGCTCATACTATGAGGTGACTCGCAGAGACCCAGCGGCAGACAGCCGTCCATGTTCCCCTAATGCCGACCAGCCCCAACCGTGGCTGATGGGGAAGCTCCGTTCACGGGAAGCGAACTGGATGGAGCATCGAGACATCGAATACAAATCACAACTTTGACTATGATGTTACAAAATATCCGACATCCACGGCGGCGCTCGACTGCTCCCAACGCCCCTTTCCTTTCTGTGTGTAATGTATCGACCAACCGTATCGGATTTCTTTTGAGTCGGGTCACGCATCTATTTTGTTAGGGCCGGGGGGCCCCTTCATGCAGCGGTTCCACTGTATTCAAGCTTTGATTTCGAGGAGGCAAACTGAGACGCCCTTTTTTCAGTTTCAGCGCATGATACCTCTATTTTTATTTTTGTCGACGATATAGCAACTTGATTTGGTACGGGCCGACTCGGGTGACGGTGACGACGGTGAAGGGGGACGGGATATTAAAAGTTCAGTGAGAGTTGAGTAAGGGAGCTCGGGAGAAGCGAACGAATCGACGAGATGCGTTGGGACTGGTGGGAGTTAGGGGCCATGTCTTGTTGAGACGGGCGCCCCTGGCCTGCACCGAGGCACAATCCCTTTTGGATATGCGGACTCTTGTAAAGACATGATATCATCTTAGTTCGGACTACATATGATGAATACACATATAGGATATCAGGGTGCTCGTCAGTGGGGTCCAGATTCCATGACATGCACAAGACTGACGCACACGTGCACGCTATATCCAAGCTTTAAGGAGAATGTTAGCTGTGAGGGACACCTGGATGACTGTGGTTTTCGAAGGGCTTTTTTTCGAATCGCCGTCGATGGAAGGTTCAGTTTGTTTCGAAGGGAAACGAAACGGCTTCAGCACTAAACCGCCGCTTGAAAAGGCTGCGAGAGCCGGCTGGCTAGGCCGAAGGTTCTATTTTTTTTTTCTCCCCCTTTTCCCCCACCTGGCAGTGTATTGCGCAGAGGGTCCGACGCCGAGTCTGCCAGCTCACAGCACAGGGCCCCGCCAATGTACGAAGTACATACTGTATATACCTGTAGCTGACCAGGCGGGGCTCACAGTGCTTATATAAGCCACTAGGTAGGGACTAATTTACCGGTCAACCAAATAAGGCTTTTTAACGTGTGAATTGGCCAATCATAAACCTCCATTTAAAACGAAAATCTGGTTGGCAGGACGATACCGAAGACGGAAGAAAACAGGGGCAAGCAGAATGATAGGTTCATGGTTTTCGTCCATGATGGGCTCGCCAACCATAAGGGTAAGGAGGAGGGAATCGAAGATCGAAAGTCAACGGACGACTTAATTAACGAGGGCGCTCGAATTTCATATTAGCTAGTGAGGGGGGAGGCGGGCAGCCAAGATCTCTTATTATCGGATGATTTGTATGTCGAGACATCATTACCCACCACGACGGTTCTGGGTTCAGCTGCATACCGCATAGCATACCCTTGAAGTTCTCATTTCATTCAAAAGGGACCCTCAGGCTGAGAAAGGCATGCGCGCGTGCCCACGACACCGGAGTTTGTGAGAGAAAATCGGTCACGAAGCCGAGTATCGTCGACAGTTTCAGTGGACATGCCAGGGTCCCGACGCCTCTTCTCCGCCTTCGTCAATCCTCAAACACTCTCCTGACCAGGTCTGCCCGCCATGTCGAAGACGGATGTCAGCGCCGACACTGGCACCGCCGAGCATCACAAGCCCACCATGTCGGAGCAGAAGAAGCCTTCCGTGTGGCAGCGCGTCCAGGCTGGCCTTCCTTTCCTCAAAACCAAGAAGCGCATCATCATCGTCTTAGTCGTCCTGGTGGTAATAATCGGCGGCGGTCTTGCCGGATTGGCTGCATTACCTTCGAAGAAGACAGAGGGCAGCGTAGATAGGGAGCCTATGACGGATGATTCTTTCTTCTATGGGCTTTCGCCGCCCGTGTACCCGTCACGTACGTCTCTCTCTCTCTCTCTTTTCACTCGTCCGTTTGGCGTTCAACGTCCAGCCTCTGGGATCAAGCGTTCCACTAGATGCCGGGCTAACCGTTTGCATAGCCGAGATGGAGGGTCTGGGGGCTTGGAGCGATGCTTTCGAGAAAGCCAGGGACATGGTTGGGGAGATGACGCTAGAGGAAAAGGTGAGCCGAGGTTTCTCGCCCGTGGTTTTCGAGTGCCTGGTGTGACTGAACCGTTACCCCCCCTCAGGTGAGCTTGACCGGAGGCATCCGCTCTTCGACCGGGTGTGCCGGGCTTCTTCCCCCGATTAGACGGCTCCGTTTCCCCGGGATGTGTCTCCACGATGCCGGGCAAGGTCTCAGGAACACCGATTTTGTCAATGCCTATCCGGCCGGTATTCACGTGGGAGCTAGGTATGAGAGAAGAAGAGAAGAGACAATATCCTTGTTGGATTCAAAGAATTCTTTTCTTTTTATCTCCTTGTTCAAACATATTTTTCTGACCTACTGTTTTGCAGCTGGAACAAACCCCTGGCACGACGGAGGGCGAAGGCCATGGGGTCCGAATTCAGGACGAAGGGTGTCAACGTCTTGCTCGGACCCTCGATCGGGCCCATGGGCCGCGTGGTCAGCGGCGGTCGGAACTGGGAGAGCTTCTCGGTCGATCCGTACCTAACCGGCGTCTTCGTACACGAGACGGTCAACGGGGTGCAGGAAGAAGGTGTTTTGACTAGTGTCAAGGTAAGCAAGCAAACGGCAGCAAAACACCTGCTTTTGTGGAGTGTTTCTCCTGTTTGGAGGGGGGCTGACAGTTGCGTGCCTTTTGCAGCATTTCATCGCGAACGAACAAGAAACCAATCGTCTGCAGAAACTGCCCCGGGAAGCTGTCTCTTCGAATGTTGATGACAAGACCATGCACGAGTTCTACCTCTGGTGAGTTCCAGGATGGATGTGCCAAGCCAAAAGAAACGGGTTTCTTCTAGACCAAAGAAAGAAAAGAAAGAAAAGAACGAAAAGAAAGAAAAGAAAGAAAAGAAACTGACATGACGCTCTTTTCAGGCCATTCCAGGACGCCGTCCATGCCGGTAGCGCCAACATCATGTGTTCCTACCAGCGGATTAACAACTCGTATGGCTGCCAGAACAGCAAGACGATGAACGGCCTCCTGAAAGACGAACTCGGTTTCCAGGGCTGGGTCGTCTCCGACTGGGACGCGCAGCACGCCGGCGTCGCCGCTGCCCTCGCCGGGATGGACGTGGCCATGCCCGTGCCACACGACTACTGGGGCGATACTCTCGTCGAAGCCGTCAGGAACGGGTCCGTCCCCGAGAGCCGCGTCACCGACATGGTCACGCGCGTCATCGCGTCGTGGTATCGCCTGAACCAAGACCACGAGGACTTCCCACCCCCTGGGGCGGGAATGCCCATGAACGTGCAGGAGCCCCACGCAATCGTCGACGCCAGGAACACCTCCAGTCGCGGCGTGCTTCGCGATGGGGCCGTTGAAGGCCACGTCCTGGTCAAAAACGCCAACGGCGCGCTCCCCCTCGGTAGACCGAGACTGCTCTCCCTATTTGGATACTCGGCCACGTCGGCGCGCGGGATGAACTTCATCGGCGGCGGATTCGTCGACCCCCTGGCCTTCGGAGCGTACCCCGTGGGCTGGGAAGAGGTCGAAGCCGGCTTCACGATGAAGGAGGACTACGACCAGGATTGGTCGGCCATCGGCCTCGGCGGCACCATGATCTCGGGCGGCGGGTCGGGCGCCCCTTCGCCGTCGACGCTGATCTCTCCTTTCGAGGCGATCAAGGCGCAGGCCGACGGGGACGGCACCGCGCTCCTGTGGGACTTTGAACGCGGCGATCCGGGCGTCCACGCGGAATCCGACGCCTGTCTCGTCTTCGGCAACGTCTGGGCGAGCGAATCGTACGACCGACCGGCGCTCTACGACGACTACACCGACGGCCTGATCCTAAACGTGGCGTCGCGCTGCAACAACACCATGGTCGTGCTGCACAACGCCGGGCCGCGCCTCGTGGACCAGTGGATCGAGCACAGCAACGTCACGGCCGTCCTCTTCGCGCACCTCCCGGGCCAGGACTCGGGCAACGCGCTCGTATCGATCCTCTACGGCGGCGCGAACCCGTCCGGCAAGCTCCCCTACACCGTGGCGCGGAACGAATCCGACTACGCGCACCTGGCCGGGCCGGACGTCCTCCTCCCCGATGACCGGGTGCACGCAAACTTCCCGCAGAGCAACTTCTCCGAGGGCGTGTACGTCGACTACCGGCACTTCGACAGGCAAGGCATCGAGCCGCGCTTCGCCTTCGGCTTCGGGCTGAGCTACACATCCTTCGCGTTCGGCAACCTCACGGTCCAGGCGAGCCGCAACGCGTCGACGACGGCGCCATACCCGACCGGGCCCCTGGGCGAAGGCGGCCCGCAAGACCTGTGGGCCGTCCTGGCGCGGGTGTCGGCCGACGTGCGGAACACGGGGGCGGTGGCGGGGCATGAGGTCGCGCAGCTGTACGTCGGGATCCCGGGCGGGCCGGTTAGGCAGTTGCGTGGTTTCGACAAGCCGTTCGTCGAGGCGGGCGAGTCGGCTGCGGTCGAGTTCGAGCTGACGAGACGCGACCTCAGTGTGTGGGACGTTGGGGCGCAGAAGTGGCATCTTCAGAACGGCACGTATGGGGTCTGGGTCGGGTCGAGTAGTCGGGATCTGCCACTGGAAGGCGAGTTTGCGATCCAGAACTGAACGACTGTCAAATGAGACCAGTGTCTGTCGTGACGATTACTTTTTGTTAATTTTAATTTTATTTTTTTGAGTTGCTCTGCTCAACATATAGGCTAATCCGGACCGAATATGGGGTCCCACTGGGTGTCGCTGCTTTTACATGACTCCTTTAGAGGGAGGACTTCTTCTCTGGTATCACAGGCGTTCATGGTAAGACGATGGATTCCCTTGCAAGTGTCTAGGGGGTAATTCGTTGATACCAATGAATACTGTTAGGTTTGGATGGTAACTCTCCGTAGGCTTGGGGGGAAGAAGACGGAGGGAACGAACCCCCGTGTCATGCGAGTAAACCGGTGTGACGACTCACATCCCATCTCGAAAAGTCCTACCGATTATAGCGCGCGTAATCCCGCTCGACGTTGAGCCGGATGAACGCGGCCGCGGACGTCGGTGTGAGCGGTCATGCCGCACCCTGTAGTACTAGTGTAGTGTATAACAGCATTTGATGCCCCCTGAGTACGAGCCGTCTCGGATAATGCCAAAGAACTCTCATACACGAAAAGTGAAGGCCATTTCGGAAGACCTGTATCAGGCCACCCGGTATCGGAAGCCACATACATACACGTTATCTTGAGAAGATAGGGTCCTCGCCCGCCTGCAGCCATCAATATTCGAAATCCTCTGGCGCCAAGTCGTACCTATGAGGCAAGCCGCCACACAGGGGACAGGGGGAATCTGACAAAAGGGACAAAAGTTCCGCAGGAGGCGCCAAGCCGTCGGCGCCGTCCTGTAGTGCTCCCGTCCGTACTTCGTCGGTGGCGAGACAGACGACAAGCCAGACGGATCCTCGTCATGAAGTTCAGAAAGCCGCCGGTATCTGTACCCATTCCTCTTCTCGGAATCCGTTGTAGACCTCTTCTCCACCATGCGTGCGTCGTTCGTGCATCTTGACCGACCCTTCACGATAAGCTGTGAGACAAGCATTGATTCAATGTCCTGGACCCCTACGATTAATAAATGAGATTAGTTATTATATGGCTGGCCGATTACAGCCGCATACCCACATATGTATGTCTGGCCCTGCTACCGTCCGTATGAAGGAGAGAAGGAGAGAAGGGGGTTCGGGGACCGATATTCGATATCCGCGATGGGTCTCTTGGCGTCCACATTCCTCCTCTCCCCTGCTCCCCTCTCTTTCACCGGATCTTTCCGCACGACATCGCCAAGAAGCAACGACACCCCGTTTCTGGGCGTTGCTTATTATGCTCGAAGCTGGGATGGATGGGATGCGGCAAAGGGGATCGATCTATTTGAGGGTGTACAGAGCAACTTCGTACCTATTTCGTGGACCAAGTCGAGTGGATCGGTCGCGCAGCCGTCACGGTACAAGCCGCCAAAAGCCACCAACTAGCGGCGCATCGAGGCGAGGGTTCCGTTCACTTGGTTGGGTTGAGATTGGAGAGATTGACCTGACTGTTCGCATGGGTTGCCGGACTTGGCCACGACGACCTGGGTTAATATAACCCGCGTTTTGCCAGCCGACCAGGGCGTACAACGTACGTTGTACTCCGTAATATGTACCGTCGGCAATTCCCGCAAAAATCCAGGGGCATCGTCCGCGTTTCTTACGTTGTACATAAAACGGAGGGGACGACTGACCTCTCAACCAAATTCTGTCATTCCCGTGATAGCAACTGGCGTCTGGCCAGAGTCATACGTACGTTACGTTGTATGTTGTATTGCCGACCTGCGCGCGTTAATGTCGGAAGCATGTCTCATCCACGTCCGATAGTCCACAAAAAGCCGATCAAGCGCTCTGCGGTGGTGGTGGGAGGTACGAAGTTATTACGTCGTTCCCGGACTTGGAGAGGTTTCTTTTCGTGGTCCAATCTCGTTTCTCCACGCAGCCGCTATTCGAATTGCCCGGCAAGCCACGAAGGTGTCCTCTTGTTTTGCGCGCGCACGCGCGCGCGCGTGTGTGTATGGGATGTGCGAGAACGGTAATTACACATAATCCCTTCATAATTACTTGGTGCCGACTTTTGCATTCCCCACCCCTTCTCGTACAGGGCTGCGGCGCTCTCTCGCACAGGCGGTTGGAGCTAACGAACCGGTCAGACGGTTCGAAAGTATGTACGTTGTAACATGGTGTTGTTGTGTTGGGGGCCCGCAGTGCAAGCGGGCCAGGATCTGGTTTTATTTTGTGGGTTGATGACGCTAGTCCGATGCGATCGTCTGCTGGATCGGAAGAAGATGAATAGGCGAGATCGGCTGTGATCACACACACCCACCACCACCACACCACCACCATCACCACCACCATCACCACCGCCCTTTCGATGCGGCCTTGCGATCTGCGGCCTGTTCTGTGGGTTGATTCGCCTCGGCTCACTTGTCACTATAGTGTACACATAGAACGTACTCGCAGGTCGGCGTGTGATGTCCTGCAAGTAGAATTCGGCCAACCAGAAGCACTGCGGCTGTATCTGGTGATCATGTTCGCGTACATTGCACACCTATTCGCGACAACACCAGGCCTTGACATGCCCGAGGTAATACCGGCGTCCAAGGGGCGCCTCATTTCAAGTCTTGCTCGAGGCGAGGCGCGCAAGACGAAATGGCGAGCACAGTGAAGGGCAGGAACCATCCACAACCGTCCTGTTCCATATTCCATACAGCAGCGTACGTAGCATCGCCTACTTCGTCGGAGGCAGCCGCTTCGGCCGTGGGCCAGCATGGTCAGAATGACTCGAATTTCAACGTCCGCTGTCCCTAGACCTGCCGTTCGGGAGTGGCATGTGTCGGACTGACACTGTGACAGATGATGCAGAATGCGTTAGTGACCTCTCTCAGATGCGAGAACGGGGGGGGCCCAACGACGAATGGAATAACAGCGCCAGGCGGGGGTTGGATCAGATCCCATATGTGAGCTGACAATGCTGGGTTCCGTTCCCCCCTCCCTACCCCAAACAATTTTCACGCCTGCTGACATGTCATACACAAAATCTATTCCCGCCAGATCTGCGATCCTGCCAGTTGAATGCCACGTCTTTGGAGGGGAGAATGGTTCAAGATTGGCCCTAAGGCCGCCGTGACCATGAACTGGGCCGAGACAAAAACTTTGTACTCAGTACGATGTACTTTGTACAATACAACGTACCAAAACGGCAACCCGACGACCCCCACCCAATCTACTTTCGTAGGTGGGCCCAGAGTTCGGAAAGTGGCCAATCCATCGGGGAGCAATAGGGCGTTTCCGCGGATACATCTATCCGTATGTAGGTGCGGCCCCGAGACAAATTTTGGTACGAAATGCTGCGTAGGATGAACATGGGCGGTCAACGATCACTCGGCCGGTGTGCATGGGTGCTAATTGCGGTACGGTAAAGCAGGTGGCAATTGGTACGAGACTCATAAAAGGGTAAGGAGTCGCACCGTACCGTACCGTATGTAAGGTATGTATGTATGTACATGTACAGCGTGCTGCATGCAGGCGAGGACGGAGAGATTCCGCAAGCATATCGTCATGAATGATTCGCCGATGCATACTCTTCTCGGGTTCGTTTCGTTTCCTTGTCTTCCACGCCAACTTGACTGGGATCTTTTGGTTGCATATTGGAAGTGCTAGTTGGCACCAAAATGTGTAAGTAGGGAAGAAAAAGAAGAAGAGGAGCAATGAGAAGAAAGAAGATGGAAATGGCGAGCTAGTGAGGCAACCGGGAAGAACGGCACAGATACTACGAGGTACAACCTACACTACGTCGTATGAGTTCTACACGAAAAGAGGGGCAAGGAAGTGGGCTTTTTTGCCATTGCAAGAGAACCCTGCTCGTCAAGCCCTGGTCTCCCGTTTCAATTTGGTGTCAACATGCTCTTTCCTTGCTCAGACACCGCCGTATTGGCTCTCCGTAGTGGAGCTGTTGCTTTTGAAAAGGGTCAGAGGGTAGGGGGATGATCGCCCCGCACGTTGGGCAGTGTCCTGTCGAGCCGGGAACTTTTGGGATGCAGTAATTACCGGAGCGTAGGAAGTATCTTCCTACTGCACGAAGTAGGTACGAAGAAGAAAAAAAGGAAGAGAAAGAAAAAAAAAGTACACGTGTAAATCGAACCCCGCTAGTCGAATCGGCAAGAACCTTGTTAGCGTCCTGCACAAATTGAGCTTCCGATCCATTTGGCAATATCTGCCCATGCCCCCGGACGCCGCTCCCCTGCACCGTCCGCTCCGGCTTATGTACAGCGTACCTGTATGTACTGCCAGATAGCGGCCCCACATCGGCCATTCGGCGTGAGCAGGAACGACAATGGTTTGTTGGGTTTGACCACGGCACACCGACTGTTACCGCTTTTGGGAGTCGATGAATGGACGAACTGGGCAGAGTCGGTGTGGATGGGGTTGTGACGATGAAACTGGAGGAAGAGCGCGCATAGGAAGAGACATGTTTGTGCAACAAAGAACCATAGACTCTTCAGGCTAAATTTGTAAAAATTTAAAGCATCACACGATGCGTATACTCCGTATCTATCTACGAAGGAAGTAAGAAAATGAAGAACAAAACTTTCGATGCTTGCCCTATTCCTGACACTACCATGTGGCCTTGGGCAAGAAGCCGCATACGGAAGAAAATACACACTTCGGTTATAAGCGCTTGGAGTCTTATTGTACGATGCCTTCAAATTATTCTCTCCTTGCCCCACTGTCAAGGCATGGGTGCCCGACTAGAATAAGAAGAAGAAGCAGTAAACGAAGCAGTGAACGAAGCAGTGAACGAAGCAGTGAACGAAGCAGTGAACGAAGCAGTGAACGAAGCAGTAAAAACGAAGCAACGAAATAATAGTGGTACGGCCGTCGAGAAATCCCTCGATATCAGCTGATAACTCCGACCACGAGCTACGCCATAGTAGTCAGCCAGACCAGTCCCCATGTGCCAAAAGATGATTACTAGGTAAGGTACCTACCTCACGCACCAACTTACGGTACACAATCTGACAGGGACACTCGTGCTATTTCCGATAAATGTCAAACCCCATAAAGGCAGGACCCAAGTGTTCCACGAAGTTTTCTCGAAAACCCCCTTTGCTACCTGACGTAGTAGAGGACCCCCGTACGGGTACGCATTTACCAAATCACCAACCAACTCATGGCAGGGGGAAAGGATGGTCTAATGACGTATCACTCCTTGACGGTGCCTCGAATCCCATCGCGATTCGCGAAACCATTGACCGAACTGTTCCTTGGGCTTTTTGGGGCCAATTCGACCGCTGATCTAGTCATGTCTTCGGGGGGTGGGCACACCGACGCACATTATCGTGTACGGCGCAGCTACAACGTACTTCGTCTCAGGTCCGTAAAAATAGGCCTAAACAGACGAGGGAGATGGAGACTGGGGCCGGATTCTAGTGTACTTCGTAATTCGAGATGAAAATGACCCGGCGATTGAACTGTTCAACGAACTGTGTTAGGGTGACCCGGACCGGACGCGATGTGGTCCTTTTGCATAGATAGGGTCGGGTATGGGCGGAAGTAGCAGCACTAGTGTATTGTAGCACTCCATATTAATGGTCCGACTCGGCCATCACGAGATCGTGATCACTCTCTGTGGATGGTCGGCAGTTGTGATCCTTGTTGACAAAGTTTTAGGTACCTAGATGGAGAGTGAGGAGTGTCCATGGTCGGATTTTAGGTATCCACTTATAGTCCCACATGTAGTTTGGGGCGACGGCTTCACCGGGTGCCAATAATTATTAGGTGTTTATCTGCCTACAAAGTACCACCTATGCGCGCCAAGTGTCGAGGCAAACTAGGTCATTCGCTTTCCAGAGATGCTGTGCCTACTAGGACGCCCTGCTGTGCTATATAGAACACGACACGGTCAACTCTGACTCGTATATATTGTCCTCAATATGAAAGCAGCTCGTCGGTTCCGGATTCCTTTCACCGCAATTGCGGAAGGCTGTGGTAGGCATGTTCTGAGGCATGTTCTGTCATGAGACTGGCGTTGGCCTGTGTCACATGCTGGACGTTGGCAAGGCCCTGTCGTTGGCACCACTGCGTCGCGACCCTCTTCCACTCTTCCACGTCGGGCGCCAATAAGCGGCTACTGTGGGAGATATGTACACTACTTGGTCTGCCCTTTTAGCACGCCGCCACTCCCGTTCCACGAAGACCCGGGTGTGCGTCATGGCACACAACGTACGACATGGTATAAGTCGGACCACCCTAATCCGGCCACCCCCCTAATTTAGCCTACCTGTTTTCCCCTAATCTAACCCACCACCTCGAACAAAAACGCGTCGATATCCTAATATAATATTAAAAATCGCTTAATCAAAGTATATATCCTGTTTTACTATGCTAAAATACACGGAAAGTGATATTTAACTCGCTCTCCACGATATTCGGTGGGACGCGAGTATCCAGCACGCTTTACGCGTCTAGGGCATGCCTCGAACCACCCTTCGTAACCGTTTAAACGGCAGCTAACCTAAGAAACGCGCCTATAAGTATCTCTAAAGGCTTACGCCTATTTAAGAGTAATCTCTCGCTAGTTAGGTATTAGTATAGGCCGAGTTAGGGTTCGCGCCCTCGCACTTTTAGGTGAAGGAATTCGCGTAGAAGATCTTATATACTTAAAACGACACACGTCCTCTAGGGAGGTACTAGATAGCTGGATTTTTAGCTAGGAATCCCTCCTTAAAGACTATAAAAGGTAAACGGATTAAGAGCTACCGTGTTAAGAGCGTTATAGCTAAAGTTCTGCAGGAATTCTTTAACCGACTGAAGTAACCGAAAATTAAGGCTATTTTACCACGATTTCGATATAATATAGATAAAACGGGGATATAAGAGGGGTAAAGAATAAACGGCTTAGTAGTAGGGCACGCGGAGAGAAGGAGTATGTACGTTAAAACGTCTAGCACATGGATCTAGATATCGATTATCGAGTATATCTCTACTAAGGGCTAATCCTTACCTCCGCTTATTATTTTTAAAGGAAAAACAGTCTAACGGTAATAGTTTCCTAAAGATCTGAATAACTACGATAGCTAGTAGTTTACTGCCTCTAAAAACGGCTACACCTCTAATAATATAGCGGTGGAGTGGCTTAAAAAGGTCTTTAACCCCTATACTAAGATAGAGGCAGATAAAGCAGGTTTACCACGCCTACTACTACTAGACGGCTATAAGAGCTACCTCTCTAATAAGTTCTTATAGGAATACTTCCAGAGTAATATCCTCCTCTTATTTTTACCTCCTTATTTATTATATATTACTTAACCGCTCGATTTATCCGTGTTCGGGCCCCTTAAGGCGTCCTATCGTAAGCACCTCGCGAAATTATCGTATCTCACGGATAGCGCGCCTATCGGGAAGCAGAATTTCCTTAGCTACTACGGCAGGGCACGAAAAGACGCTATTATCGCGAAGAATATTAAGGCAGGATAGCGGGTATTAGGGCAGTGGCTAGTTAATCGGGTAAAGGCACTTCTAAGCCTATAGCTCTTAGATAAGGATACCCGTAGGCGCCTAATAACTCCTCTAGAGTAGGCTAGCACTCGAAAACCCCTCGTACTACTACCCGCTATACTTAGCGGCTATTTACGAAGGCGCTAAAGGTACTGGATAAAAAAGACGTTTTACTAGTAGAGAGGCAGTTCTAGCTTAGTTAGTTAAAGACATAATTAGATCTAGAGAGGCCGAAAAAAAGGGTAAAAATGCCTATAAAGGTAAACGAACGGTTTACCTCTATCGAGGTAATTATAAGGGCGCGATAGAGGGGGGAGGCCTTAATTAAGCTAATTAACACGTTACCCGAGGCACACGAGGCTAGATTTTAATCTATATACATAGAATTCCTACTAGAATAGCTACGTTATGGGTGAAAATAGATTTGTTTTTAAGTTAAGTCGTCTCGGTCAGGTGGGCTAAATTAGGGGGGTGGCCGGATTAGGGTGGTCCGACTTACGATGCTCCCGCTCCCATTGGACCGAGCCGATCTTTAAGAGAAATGGAAATCCGAGATCTTGATTTCGGTGACACGAGTCGATCGCCGAAACGATAGGCTCTGTGAATCGTCCTCGGCGTACAATGAGGCACTTTGTACGCGACCGAGTAAAAAAAAGTGGGCGGGCGGATGCCATGGTCGTGGAGTTGGTTGTATTCTCCGAAGGAAACGGTGTCACCCCCCACCAACCAGCTATCCGGAACCAAGGGGTGCATAGATCTGGAAAGTTTCCATCCACGTTCACTTTCGGGTAGCCCGTTGACTGATACTGATGGCAAAAGAGTGCGTGTCATACCTAACATCCTTGGCGCAAGATTCCCGGTGTTAATTACTTGGTCGATTCATCACGTTGTTGTGCCTGGAACGGTGCACGGACGACCATCAGCATCGAGGCCAGGGCATGGCTCTGCATGCCGAACGCGTGATTTCAATGTAACAAGGGTGACACTGACGGCACACAAGACAGTGTGGACGTTGGACCGAACTGATGCAGGTTCTAGCAAGGGTGAGAGCTCGATATCTGAAGGAATATCCCCCTTCATTTGCCCCCCTCCTTCTTTTTTTTATTCACACTTATTTCCCGGCTATCGTCTCCACAGTAAGTTAGGTACCACGGGGGTTTGTTTCCCTGGGAGGATAATGGGGGTTTGAGGTTGATCAAAGTCGACAAGACTGCGTCGAGGTACTAGAATATGTGCCATGGTCGTACATACAGAAATGGGCTCCTATTCCTCGTTGCCTTACCTGTAGACACCGACTGAGATTAGGTACCGAATCGCGGTCTTCTCGAGGAACATCTCATCGAGCACAGCGGAACTCAGAAGGGGCATGTTTCAGCACTGGTCGCTAACAAAAACCAGGGGCACCATAGCGGCGAGAGCATCCTTGGGGTATAGACGTCTATGTCCCGGCAAGTCAAACCATGCCCTTTGGCCCTGATGAAGACACATGTTGCCCACCTAAGTACTACCTACCATCTCCTCAGGCGGGGTGTCCTTCACGTTCGAGAAAGCACCGAGTTTCGAAAGCTCCTATGGTCGTACGAAACACATCATGAACCGGCCCCGCACACAACAAGGAACGGAACGGATACGGACATAGTACTACCTTCTCGACATAAGAACCAAGCAAGACTCGGCAAGGCGCGTGTTTAAGGACCTGACTCGAATAGACAGACCCTTGGGCTGATCCTGATCAAATCTCAAATCGGGCGTCCTGGTCCCAACTGGAGAGACTGGTGATGAGGACCAGCAGGGCAATGGAGTCATTGTGTGCAACATATATGAATATTTATGTATATGTGTGTATGTATTGACAAAGTAGGTATGCAGGTAGTATAACAGGTAGATCAATTTTGCCGACCTTTTTGGACTAAACGAGGCTTCCACTACGGGGATGGAAAGGGATCTACTCTTCGTACATGTTTCACACATCTCGCCATCTGTCCAAGTCCAATCTGCACGTGTAGCATAGCACCAAGTATCTAAGAGTGACAACTACATTCGCATTGGCTTACCGACAGAGGCACGGTACAGTGTTGTGTGTGTACTCAAAAGGGCTCCCGGCCAAGGAAAGATTTTAGTCAACGGATACAGGGGAATGGATCTTATGTGTAGTTTCTCTTGCGATACGTCAGGGACTCCACTTCGTAAGATGTCCGTTGTGCGAAGAATTAATTGGGGACTATGAGCTGGCAGGTAATTAATGCACATGATATAGGGCCGATGGATCTTAGCTCTGGATCCGATAAAGTGATGACGAGGAGTGATGAGATGCGGACGGGGGTTACAACGATAGGTCGGTTAGGTACATTACATACTATACAACGTACATATCCTTCCCAAATCCAATCCATATCACATACGACAGTGGATCGGCCATAACCCCACCCCCCTGCTCGTGAGCTCGTGGCCCTTTCCTTGCTCCTTTGAGTCCCTGGTCACTTTTGCTCCTGCTCTCTCTCCTGTCCTTGTCACTCTATCGGGCCAGGTTCCCAAGTCACATATGGATCCAGTATACCTTAATGTACAGAGTACGGGCTACGGATGGGAAAGGTATTCCTTCGTACAGAGTACGTTGTATATCTGTATGCACGTCTTCTCTTTACACGTATAAGAGGCAGTTTGAGGGTGAACCCCTGTCCGTAGTTCCTTCCCTTCCTCAAGAGTTCTCACTACGCCCGCCGTTACGCTGTGCCGCTAAAACTTCGTCACTGCTCATTCAGTTCATTTGGTACTGGATGCATTGTTGACCGCTGATCTCTTCATTTTCTGGAGTCAATCGTTTTTGTCTTCTTCTCTTAGTAGTTCGTGCCCGTAGAGGACATATCACTCCGCTCTCGGGTCTTGGGGGCGCATGTTTTGCCCTGGTTCGATTTTCCTCGACATACTTTTTTTCATTTTTTTTTTCATCCTTGAATCTTGAATCTGCTCCTAATATTACAATCTTGACGATTATTATGCCAACCTTCTTTCTCCTCTCTCTCACATTCCTTGCATCCTAGCGATACAGTATCTCCATCTCGAACTGGGCCCAAATACCTGGCAATCTGAGCTTATATTCCTCTTTGCCCCATCTTATGGTCCCGATCAGCTCCTTCGTCTGCCCACCTATCCACGACCTTTCGGTATTGCGGCACCGCCTCGTCTAACTCAACGACTTGGTAGCTTCTTCTTCATCGATCCAAGGTCGGATAGCAAGCCCATCTTATCGCCGACTACGGCCAAAGCGGGGTTCAACCGGGGCGCAGACTAACCTTCAACCTAACTTGGGCTGGTGTGGACGTCAAGACAAGGTACCAACGCTGCCGAAACAACGCGGGCCGTTTTCCACGTTTCACGCGGGACGCGAAGGAGAAGAAGAAGGGGTGAAAGTTTGCCAAAGACGGGCAACGCCCACAACGCTAGCGACGCAGTCGATCGATCGATACCAACCACGCTCATCCCTTTTCGGCCGCTAGCGAAACGGACCCCGAGACTCCAAAGCCCAACAGCAAAAGCAACAAGGACCTGGGTGAGGGGAGCCCACGGAAATAAAAGCAAAACGAGAAAGGAACCCCCCACCCCCTGCAAAGTACAAAGTACAACACCAACACCATTCCAGCCTCCCGGGAAAGACAGGGAAACGCGACACTCGGATTAATTACCACGCACTCTCCGATCTCCACCTACATCACCCGAATCAGATTCTGACAGCCTTGTCTTGGACTCCCCTGTTCGCTTTTGTCCTCGCTAAGCGGCTTGTCCCTCAGCACTAAGTCGCTGTAACGGGCGTACCACCCCAATCGGAACACCAGCCCTTGCCTTGGCACCGTTTGAACAACTGGTACAGGCGGTGAGGTGCGCTACCGTGGACCCCCCCATCACCCACTGGTGCCCCTCCTGACTCCCCCCAAATCCTCTCGAGTCCTTTTGGGCAGATCTTGCTGGGATCTAGTTCGATAGGTAATTAGTTTCCTCCCCCCACACCACAGCACGCTTTGCTCACATTGTCTCTGCAGGCATTGTGGGAGACAGCCTAGTGGAGTGGCCTGTTCTGTTCTGCGGACAAACACAAACGTGCCCAACCCATACGTTACACGTTATAGGTACTTACGGAAATACACTTACAAGGTACATGAGGCTGACCCTGTCGTCTTCCACCGATTTCTCCGTTTGGCTCCACTACGTAAACCGCAGCCACCAGCACCCACGCCCCGGTCCTGTGGTCCCGTCACCGAGGCACAACTTACTCCGCCCTTCTAGCTCCTCGGCGAGTCAGATCCTCGACGTCCTGTAGATCTCGCCCGGGGTTCACAAGATCTCCTCCAGCCTTCGCTTCCTCGGAAACCCAATCAAACTGCCATGGAAGTGGGCGGATCTGGAGCTAGGCAAAGGTGCGTACTTTCCCTCTTTTGATATTGGTCGCACCCTCGCCCTTTTATCTGTTTGTTTTCTTCTCCTCTTCTTTTCTTTTCCCTCAATTTTTTTTTTTTTACTCCTTTTCCGTTCTTCCACTTTGTCTCCCCACCCTCGACAACACATTAACAAGAAGATCTTTCGTCAGCAGCGTTCCTCCATTTACTGGCAAACCTGGCCATTGCGACGCGCAGCTACCCCCACCATATCGGGAGTCTGTTAGCAAGTTCTACCGCGACGGTCCGGCCATGGCTACGGCAGCTCTCCTCAACCCAAATCATTCCTATCACGCTCATCCACCTCCTTACTCGCCTGCCCATCATCCTGGACCCGCTGTGCCAAGCATGCTTTCTTCAACAGAGCCTCGTGGTCCCTCTGGGGATACCGAACCACGACACCGCCCATCTCTCCCCTCACTCCCCTCCTTGTCCGAGGTTATCTCCGGCGCAAAGTCGAGTCCGTTTCCGCCGTCACAAGCCCCACAACCGCCGCCTCCCGGGTTTGCAGCCTCTACCCACAGCTTCCCTTCACCTTTCGGGCCAGGACCAGCGCGACAGTTATCCGAGTCGACGACCGAGAAGCATTCGCCGCGGGCACTTCACCCAACGTCCTTCCCTCCAAGACCAGAGGGTCTTCCTCCCTTCTCCGACTCGGCCCGGCCATCGCCTTTCCCTCCTGGGAGGCATGTCGCTCCCCCCTTGAGCAACTTCCCTGGACCTCAACCCAGCCCGCCGACGACAAGAACCGAGCATATCCGGGAGCCAGACGCCAAGCCCCTCGAGCACAATGTTTCCTACCAACATCCCGTCGTGCAGCAGCCTCCGACAACATACCCCCATGCGCACGCGGCTCATTTGCCGCCGGGACAAATTCCTTTGCCCGCCGCTTATCCTGGGTCGCCACGGCACCCCTCCTTGCCGTCGCCCTACGAAGTCCCGCGTCCCGGTGCACACCCAGAAGACCCCGACTACGCTTCCGCCCGTGTCCAGCACGACCGTACTCTGAACAGGGCCCTAGATGCGTGGAGCTACGCAGAATGTCTATCTAGGGTAAGCCTGGAGTCAACGACCTTGAAGAACCCTTCGAGACCCTAGCATCACTAACAACAGTTCCACTCAGATTGCACGCTCGTCCAGAACCGTCGCCGGCTTTGCGGAGGGATGGGTCAGGATTGCCGCAGAACAACATGGCGCTCAGCCCATCCCTGAACGCCTGCCGACGGAACGGGAGGTTACTGATATGCTGAACGCGGCGGAATTTGTTCGAACTTCTCTAGAGGCTGTGCGGCATCTTGTTCAAGAAACCAACGAACGCGCGAGGGTGGCCGGAAAGGCGAATAGTTACGAAGCGGAAGATGCCCACATGTACGAAAACGTCAAGGCCAACGGCTACGGCACGGGTGAAGTGAAAAAGAGGCGAGGGGTGAGTTTTTATGGGACTGGAGTTGAAGTGCGAGCAAGCAGAACTAACCTCTTCTTTTTGGGTGTGTACAGCGGGCTGCACCCCCAGGGCGATGCCACAGCTGTAACAGAATAGACACACCTGAGTGGCGCAGAGGGCCGGACGGTGCGAGGACTCTTTGCAACGCCTGCGGCCTGCACTACGCCAAATTGGAACGCAAGCGGCAACTCGAGGCGAGGCAAATACGACCGAAGACCCCTCCACGACCGTGATGGTCGAAGAATTCGATTACGGCGCTTTCGTCACGAGGCAAGCGACCACCGAGAGAGACAAACGCCTGACGAGTTACCGATGGGCTCTCACGTTAAATTGGCCAGATTAGCCACACGAACATTTCCATAAAATCCAATGCCTGATACCCCACGATCCGTCGACCCAGGGCGGGGTTACACAACGAAGAAGATGATGTGCCCCAGCGGCGCCAGAAGAACTGTCGCCTTTACCCTCGGAACCCTTTCCTACCATTTTCTTCCACTCTGCTTTCTTCTTTCTCTTTTCTCTGTCATTTCATTTCCTCTCATCACCTGGCACAGTAATACCCGGCATTGGCTGTGCGGCCTCGATCTGCCATTGTATATACACGATCTGCTTGGCAACAACGACCGACCCAACTTTTGAGCTTATACGCTGCGCTATATCCGACGCGAGGATGTGGGCAATGACTTGACGACTCAACACCCCGCAGTTGTCGGTTACCCAAAGTCAGTCGCCATTTACGCACTTCTATTCTTGCCCGCGGGGTGTTTCTCCGGGTCGAACGAGTCGACGATTCGCTTTTTACCTTTTACGGCCTTGGGTGGATGGAACGATACAGGCCAACATTTTTCTCTCAGTTGTACAGTTAATTCCTGTGGAGTACGAGGGTTTCTCCTGTTAGTGTATCTAGAGACGGGGCTTTCATCAAGGCAGGGAAAATGGTGATACCCTGATTCTGCAAACTACTGGTCTGGCTTTGGGGCGTGTTTGTGTTCTGTTACATATACAATCGATACATTGTTAAGACGAACAAACCAGGATATCCTGGTGACGAAAGTTCCATTTCTCCTCTCTACCTTACCTTAGCTCCGGACTAAATTGGGTGGATCGTATTCGTACAAGATACAGTAATATCCGTAACTCCGTGCTTGGTACTAACAAGACAACAAAACCCGCGAACCCGTCATTCTTCATCTCCTCGCGGCTTGCCCCCGCGAGACTAGTTCATGGAGACTAGGAGGAGATTAGCAGGCTAGGCAATCCGCTCGGCTTGGACACCGGGCGCGCACGGCCGGTTTAGTGGGCGTTCCGGCTTATTAGGTGCTATTAGGTGCTATTAGGTGCTTATAAAAAAAGACCGACATATGACGGGTAGGATCGGTGCAGGGCCTGTTAAGAGCCCTGTAGAGAAAACTTGTGGATATGTCTCTCTTCTTACTTTCCTCTTCCTCGTTATTTTCTGTTCCGTCGGGTCCGGTGATAAGAGACTTGACAAGGTCAAGGGGTATGTATCTATGGAGTACTTGATGGAGAGCTACTGCGTAGGACATTATTGTTCATTAATAAGGTACATATGATATATCTGTACTCCGTAGCCTGCATATACTTACTCATGGTTGTGTGGAATCCGAGTTGGGTGAAGCTCTATGTGGTTTCCCCTCTCCCACCCCCCGTGGCGTGCTTAAGGTATGTATAACTGTACTGTACGTTGTACGTACAAGGTAATTAATAAGGGAATTGCCGCTCTCCCGCCTCCCACCTCCCACCTCCCACCTCCTCGCTCCCCCGATTCCCGATCGTCCCCGACGATCAGGGGGTTATTGTGGCTAGCGCTTATCCGTAGTGTTAGGGAACCTTGTCGGTGGGGGCACGCGAGGAGGACATGGAATGTTCGGTGTTCTGGGTTTCGTCCGTGGCCTCGTCCGTCCGGACGTCCGACTCCCGTGCGTTTTTCGTTCGTTACACGCGAGATGATTAATATGTATCACATCTTTCTAAGGTTTATTTTTTTTTTTGTGTATCCCCTTTCTTGCTTCCCTTTTTTTTTTTTTTTTCTTGGTTTCCCCTGGTTAGGAGAGGGGTTCTTTTGAGTCCTGTCATTTGTCATCTGCTTTGCAAAGACACGCCGAGTGACATGGCACAATGTGCGCTTTGGAGAAGTTACAGAAGTGGGGAAAGGGACACACGCTCTGGGGTGTTACTGGATATGGAGTTGCACGACTTCTTTTTCTTTTTATTTTCTTTATTTTCTCTCCTTTTTTTCTATCGGTCTCGTTCCTTTTCCCATTCTTGCTTTTTCCGTTCCCAATTGTTTCTTAACCCGGACTCCGTACTGTCTCTAATTTAATTACTCTACACTATAATGACTATTCATTCATCCTTTTCTCATTTCTCCGGCATTCATTCCTTCTCCCCCCCAAGGGTGTAAGAGCAGTGGTCCGGCGGAGGTCAAGCCAATTTTTTTATTTTTTTTTCGAACATGGACTCGTCCCCCTTGCCCGTCCCAGAGGTATGTACAACGTACCTCGATCTCGCCGGTGGAGCAAGATTAATTCAGTATCCCGTCTGTCTCTCACTACCTTATGTGGTAGCGATGTGACGCGTAAGAGTGTTGAAGTACATACGAATCGAAGTACGAATAGAACATCGTACTTCATCTCCTCCTGCCCTTCAGCACCGAACACCCAGCGCTTCGCTTCGTGGGGCCCTTGCCCTTGCCCTCTCCCCTCCTCCCTGGGTCGATTTGATATGCCCGCAGCTTTACCTATAACGTACAGGATCGTCTGAAAGGTACCCGGCGTACACCGTAGAACTCTGTCAATAAGGTACGCATGCTGGGATGGTCTGAGACAACTCACATACTCTACCTATATACGATCAGGGTCTGTTCTGTCGGCGGCACTTGATCGCGGGTTTCACATCCACCGGCACCAGCATCTTCACGTCCTTTTCCCTTTCCCCTCCACAGGTCCAGCCAAGACATGGTGATGAAAAGCACGAGACGACCACGAGATAAGCACGAGATGGACACACGTACAACGTACAATCCCACCCTTGGATCGGATCTGCGTCACCCACCACTCCACCCGGCTTGGGTGAATGCGAATGCCCATCGGGTCATGGCCCCTTTTCGATTCTTAAGCCAAATCCGGACCTGGAGCGCTTTTTGTCGACGACGATCTGATCGTACATAGATAGATAGGTATGTATGTCGTCTCGCGAAACCTCACCACGTCCCGGCACAGGACAAATTATGCGGTCGGTATGTGTGAATGCTGTTTCGTTTCGGTCAAACGATGACGATGCATAGCACCGCTTGGTTACTCGCAGAGAAGAAAAAGAAAAGCAATGCAGTCATCCCGGGGGGAGCTCGAATTCTTGATCTCAAGTCACACGCCACGTGACGACGGATCTGATAGCGACTTTCTCTCCCACTCCTCGTTCCTCGTGGGTGGTATGTACTCGGAACCTCTCGCTGAAGGGGCCCTGTTATGCCAGCACATTACAAAGGACCCTCCCTATATGCATGCAGGAGACACAAATCAAACGTGGGCTTTCGACCCGTGTCCTCAAGAGCCCTGTGCCTGTGCTCACTTCTCACGTCTCATCATCACCACACCCACCGCGGAAACTGCCGAGAAGTCGCCCCAACCCAGGAACGCCCATGTTGGCGAACCCTTTCCCCTTCCCCTCCCCCTCCCCCTCCAGCTCCAGCTCCCGCTCGCCAACCGCAACGACGGCCGCAATGAGGTCCTTCTGCACCTCCTCGCCCACGACGCTGTCGTGCCGGTACGCCGGGTGCGCGTCCACAAAGCCGCGGATCCACCGCGCCGCCGTGACGAGACGCCCGCTGGCCCGCATGCTGATGAGCCGCAGGTACGCGTCCAGCGCGCAGCGCGTCTGCACGTCGACGTTGACGCTGTCCAGGTAGCTCTCCACCAGCGGGATCAGCCCGGGGAACGTGTGCGTGTCGTTGTCGCAGCCGTTGATGATGTCGTCGACGGTCATCTCCGTGTACTCGTCCTCCACTGGGCCGACGGGGGTCGGCGGGCGGCTCGGCGGGCGGGAGCCCGGCCGGGACGACGACGACGACGACGATGGCGCGTTGTTGGCGTGGCCGTTGTTGACATGCGAGTGACGCCCCGGGAAAGGGTTCTTGCGGAAGTAGAAGCGCTGGTTCAGGACGGCGTCGACGGCGTGGGCGCGCTCCATGTTCTCGTCGACCTTGGTGATGGGGATGTAGAAGTTCAGGTCGAAGGAGAGGATCACGCGGGTCACGAGCACCATGAAGACGGAGAAGGCGGCGTTCTCAAAGTCGGTGACCTGGATTTCCATCGGGCGGAACTCGACGCGCCAGCCGATGCTGTTGTCGGCGGGGGGCGGCTTGAAGCGCATGTGCTGCCAGTTGGTCGACTGCAGGTTCTCGAAGTGGTCCGTCTTGTTGAGGTCGAGCTCCTCGAGGTCTTCCTGGAAGACGACGATGGGGTCGCGGATGAACAGGTGGGCGAAATGCGTGGCGAGCCGGTCGTCCATGCCGCCTTGGATGAGCTGCGCCTTGATATCCTCGTCGACGACGAGGTTGGGGTCCAAGTATTCGGGCCTCAAACGTGAATCCGTGGAGATGTAAGTCGAGTTGGAGGCGTAGCGTGACTTGGGGATTCTCCACCGGTCATTTTTCAGCGGCTTTTGTTTTAAAAAAATTCATTTAGTCAGCAATCTGTACAGGACTT